TGTCTCCCTGGTGGTCTTTGGGATCTTCGAGACTTAGGTACAACAGTATAAATGCTAAGACAGACTGAGGTAAGCCGCCATTTACCTGGAACTCAGCATAGACACAGGAAGATATTTCCTGTGTGGATGACTTAACTACACATAGTAGAAAATGATAATGAAAGGGTGCTTCGTCTCTGTTCTGAAAAGTATTTTTTTTAAAAAACAAATTATCACATCACAAACATCATTATTTAGGCAAGTAGCCTTTTCGGAGTAAAATGGTATACGATGCGAGAAAAGTCATGAATGAGAGGAAAACACAGCAATGATTTGTATGTGTCAGATTTAGTAGTGGTTATTTCGCAATCATATTTTTCTTACATTCTATTTTTCTTACAAGTCATATATATATTGTTTATTCTGTAGGAAGATTAAAAACTGTTATCTAACATCTGTCAATGCTGTTCTTTCCTGAAAATGCCTGATTACAGGGGAACGGAATTTTCCTTCCACTTTGACAGAGCAATAGGATATCTAGATAGGTGTTATTGGGAAAATCCTGTAATTTCTATGTACACAAGTATGGATTGTTGAACCCGTTACATTTACTTCAACACCAAAATAATGTTGATGCCGGACAGTGGTGGCACACACCTTTTATTCCAGGACTTGGGAGGCAGAAGCTGGTGGATTCTGTGAGTTCAGGCCAGCCTGGTCTACACAGTAAGTTCTAGGACAGCCAGGGCTGTTAGACAGGGAAACCCGGTACAAAAAAAAAGAAAAAAAAAACAAGGAATGGGAATGACTGTCCTAGGGCCTTTCATACTCCACATATAATCTTTACTTTCCTAGAGGCTCTTACAAGAATAAGCAGACATTTTTCTCATAGTACTGTTATCTATTTGAGAGTATAGCAGCAGGAAAAGAAATGGCTTGGTTTTCACTCTTGATTGTTCTAACTATTAATTAAACCTCCAATAAGACCTTTCTAGGAGCTTCAATTTCTTCCCTCAAAAAAATGCAACTGGATCTATATCTCATAATCACTTTATTAAGAGCTATTAGGTGACAAAATCAGAATGAAAGTTAAATTATGAAATATGATATATAAATATTACCATGCAGTAGAACGCGGGGAAGTAATGTGCAAAAAAAAATAATTATGTTTTAACATGTCTGTAAAGGAACTTGATAAGCAAGACAGACTTGCTCTCATAGGAAATAACCATCCACAGATGCTACAAAGGCAGGCAAGAGTAGGTAGGAGTACAAGTGGGGAGGTACTTAGAAGGCCTCAGGCAGTGCCGGTCAGCCCAGGGGCCATGGAGGTGCAAAGGACCCCTTTAAAAGAAGACCTCCACCCACTCACACTTTTCCACTCTGTCTTTCCCGCTGTTCCCCTGGGGCAGACAGGACTTTTCCTGTCTCTCTCTCTCTCTCTCTCTCTCTCTCTCTCTCTCTCTCTCTCTCTCTCTGTCTGTCTGTCTGTCTCTCTTTATCTCTTTTCTCTTCCCTTCCCTCTTCCATCTCTGGTCCCAGTTGGCCAACATCTACCCATCCCTTTACTCTCTTCCCCAATAAACTCCATGTGGGTTTGTTGAGTTTTGTGGTTCTTGTTTCAATGCCTGCAGCAGCTGCAACAAAACAACAACTCTGTGTGTGTGTGTGTGTGTGTGTGTGTGTGTGTGTGTGTGTGTACATATATATATGGCGTGGGGGATAGAAATGTATCAGTGTAAGGTCTGACCCCCAGCACTGTAAAACACAATTTTTAAGCATTCAGTGAGATCATGAATATGCCTATAGAGAAACCTAATACTGTTGGGAAAAGATATATAATACAAGAAGTAAACACTATTGAAACAATAACCTATTGAAACAATCCAGTTGAGAGATAACATCTTGGGTTACAGCCCAGATACGAAGATAAGAATGGAATGGGCTGACTCAAAGATTGCAGAGGATTTCAAAAACTATGTAGAAATGAGAGAGACAATTTAAAACAAAGCAGGTGAATAGAAACCCAACATTAAAAAAAAAAAAATAGTTTTCTATTTCATTACTGGAAAGGGTTAAGTTTAGACTGATGAGGGATGTCCTTCTGTAATATATGTTCCTTTTATTGGTTGATGAATAAAACACTAATTGGCCAGTAGCTGATTGGCAGGAGGTATAGGCAGAGCTACCAGACCAGGAGAATTCTGGGGAAAGGAGGCAGAGAGGAAACCCCAGAGAGAACCCATGTAGTCGCTGGGCATTCTCCAATAAGCAAAGACAACGTAGAAATACATAGATTAATAGAAATGGGTTAACAATTAAGAAATCTAGCCAATAAGAAGCCTGGGCCACGGCCCAAATAGTTCATAATTAATATAAGCCTCTATGTATTTATTTGGGACTAAAGAGCTGCGGGACCCGGGGGGACAGAAACCCATCTACATTTATCATATTAAGTCTGAAATGTCAGCCAGGCACAGTTTCGAAAATCTCTGAGCTCAAGGACAGCTGGTCTACAGAGCAAATTCAAGAACAGCCAGGACTACACAGAGACACCCTTTCTTGAAAAGAAAATGATGTCTAAAAGACTTACAAAATCTTAGAAGGGTGTGTACCCACAGCACTGATCTGAGTTAGCTGTTTAGTCTATCTAACATCCAAGAGTAAGACAGAACTCAGTAATAAATCAGAAGTTACTAAAATCAAGAGAGTAGGAAGAACAGGAATAAAAGAAATCTACACATGACACTGTATTATAAATGCTGAGCCAGGCACGGCAGCGCCCACTACCATGCACTCAGGAGGAAGCGGCAGGCGGATGCCAGAGTTCAAAGCCAGTCTGGTCTACTAAATGAGTTCAAGCACAGCTACATAGAGAAATCCTGCATAGATGGGTGGATAGACAGACAGACAGACAGACAGCTATATTTTTGAAAACTTTTTTGAGGTATGTATTTTTTCTCACCCCCCTCTCCCCCTCCACCCTCGTTCCTGGTCGCCATGCCCATGATCCCAATTTACTCAGATCTTGTCTTTTTCCCTTTCCTAGGTGGATCCATGTATGTCTCTCTTAGGTCCCCTTTGTTAGCTAGGTTCTACTTAAATTTTATATTTTATTTTTAATAAAAGATTAAGAGCAGAGTTTGCAGAATGCTTTTTGACCTTTTTTTTTTTGGGGGGGGGGTTCAAAGACAGGATTCCTCTATAAAACAGTCCTGGCTGTTCTGAAACTAGCTCTATAGACCAGGCTGGCCTCAAACTCACAGAGACCCACCTGCCTCTGTCTCCCAGGTTATGGGATTAAGGTATGTGCCACTACTGCCTGGTTTGACTTGATTTTATGTTTATTGAAATACTGTTTTCATATGATTAAATACATTTTAATCATATCATAATATACCATGGCACTCGGATGCATTCAACTTGGGGGAGACTCTAAAGTGCCATGATAAATAAATAAATATATATATATATATATATATATATATATATATATATATATATTTGTTGAAGTAAGGCAGAAACGGCTGAAGACACCAAGGCAAAGAATACCAGAAGTTAAAAATAGAAAATAAAGACAAATTATTGGTAAGAAAGAGATGCCTGTGCTTGTGATTAGTCAATGGATGCTTATGATACAGCCCAGAGGTCATAACAGCAGAATCCCTTCACATTAAAGTTCTATGAAGATGGCAAAGGATGCCTCAAGTCTTAACCACTTACTGCTCATACCCCAACTTTGTAATCAAGGAATCGGTAGCTAACTCTTTAAACAACTCTCTATATAGCATAATACAGTAACTAGTTCCCCCCATTGTCTCTGATGGCCAGGACAAGGGTTAAGCTACATTCAGAGTATCATGTCAAAAGTGTCAATGAAACACGACTTTGCTTAAATAGCACACTTTTAATCATCCCAGTTCAACTTCATTCCCAGAAGAACTCATTAGCAGTAACCCAAAGAGCTACAGTGTCACATTAGCAATGTATCTCATATACTTTGCTTTACTTTTGTAAAGAATAAGTAATCCTAGTAACTCATCTTCTTACAAGTCAGAACCCTGGAAATCATCCCAGAATTTCTTCGCTCTAACCTCCAATTAATTGTTTACTAGTTTCATACCTCTTAAAAACTCTTAAAAATAGTCCATGGGGCTGGAGAGAGCTGAGCTCTTAAGAGTACTTGCTCTTGCAGAGGACCCAAGTTTAATTTCTAGCACCTGCATGGATGCTCACGACCACCTGTAACTCCAGTTCTAAGGGATCCAACACCCTCTTCTGACCTCCAAGGGCATCAGACACACACACAGTGCACAAACACACATACAGGCAAACACTAATATATATAACCCTTCCCCCAGAAAAAAAAAGTTTGTTTTTTTTGTAAATACCACTACCTACAGTATTCCTTGTCTAAGCATTTTCCTCTGTGTGGCCCCAGCTGTCCTGGCACTCACGCTGTAGACCAGGCTGGCCTCAAACTCACAGAGATCTGCCTGCCTCTGCCTCCAGAGTACTGAGTTTAGAGGCGTGTGCCACCACAGCCCAGCCCTTGTCTAAATATTAAGCGGTTAACTAAACTGTGTTTGTCACAAACTATAATGACCATATTTCAGGCTGCCTTCGTGTATTTCACATCTGTAAACGCACTCATTTCAGAGGCCTGCAAAGAGGACACATCAATGGGAAACCAAAGACACAGTCCTTCTAAGAGAGCCTCTGCACCTTTACTAGCGTGATCTCCTGATGGAGAAAGAGAGAAGGTACTAAAAATGTTAACCTGTTCTCACTGCTCCAGACCCACGGACAAGAACAACCTGGAGTTCCTAGAAGCATAACAGCAAAGCCTCTGCCCCAATAAATGTCACAAAATCTTGACTTCAAATAAAAGAATGTAAAAACAAATCTATCTACATAGTTACATTGGGTTTCTGATACAGGTTTTAAGGAGGCAAAAATAACCAATTCATCATGCTGCTGTAATCTAAAGTACAATGAAACGTTACATACAAGACAGTTACCTGAGGAGAGTCAAATGGGTAACGACTACTAAACTTAAACAGAAGCTGGAACTTCTCCCCTTCATATAAGGTGCCTGGTGCACCCTCCATGTCTACGATCCACCTAGGACAGAAAAAATAGAAAGGGGACAAATTTAAAACTTAAGATCAAAAGGATAGGGATAAAAGCAGAGGTCACTGAGATGCCAGGCACTGGGGCTGAGTAACCCACGTGCAGTGCACACTTCACCCAACGACTCTCACACTGCATTTTTTTTAAATTCACTATTTATGCATATTGCATGCTTGAGTCAATGGAGTCTTATTGTATGGGGGGGGGGTCATGCACAACCACAGCACACTTGAAGTCAGAAGACAACTTTGTGGAATTGATCCTTCCCTCCCACCTATATGTGGGTTCCAGGAATGGAATTCGGAGCTAACTAACTACCTTGTGATTTACCTTCTAAGCTACCTTTCTGGCCCGCAGTGAAGGTTGTTTTTCTGTTTGATCTGTGTGTGTGCTAGATGTGTGCTAGCACCCATTGGGGTCAGGGTGACAGGTCCCCTTGTGAGCCACCAGTGACATGGATGTTAGGACATAAGCTAGGGTCCTCTGGAAGAGCAACAAGGCCTCTTAACTGCTGAGCACTCTCTCCAACCCAGAGTAGGCTTTAACATTCTCTGTGACACTTGGTATTTCAGAAATCAGGTCAAGGTCAGAACCAGGCCTGTAACCCAGGCATGAAACAAACTACAAACAAACACAACTCTCACGTCCATATGCTAACGCCAGAGTCTATATTGTACCCATCCTTTTAGATCACACCATCTATTTCTTTCAAAAGAACTATAATAACTAGTACATAATAATCTATAATAACTAAAATTGTTTTAGACAGTGTTAGAAGCAATGGGAGAAACTGCTAACAGCAAAGACAACAGAAAACTGTAGCTGACAAACCGACCTCCTGAGCAGTCATCTAAGGATGACTAAATGGAAGCTCAACTGATCCCCATCCATCTACTCTGAAGGTCACAAGCAATGCTGTCCGTTGCCTTTCCCTGCTAACTCATTTTCAGAGAGCTCAGATTCCTAGGACATCTACTATAAGCTTGCTTTGCTTGTTTTCACGTGTGACAATCAAGAGCATAAACGTTTGCACTGGTATTCTATGACTATCTCCAGTCTTTAGAAGAGAAGATAGAAGACACAATAGCAGATGATAGGCAGCATTTAAACATGAACCAGTCAGTAAGAATGAGCCTTTAATTACGACTGTCACATGTAAACTGTTGTTGGCCAAGCCCTTTAACCTCATGCTTCTTAGGTACAAAAATATTCTTACTTTAAATAGGAAAGCTGGGGTTCAGGATATATCTCAGCATCGGAGCACTTGTAAACCATGATCAAGGCCCTGGGTTTGGTGCCCAGTACTTACTGCCAGCCAATATCACCCACCCCACCCACCCATCCATCCATCTAGGAAAATCAGAGGAAAATAGGGAATACTATGGTTAAGTTTCTACCCATGTCTCATGTAGTAAGGAACAAGGAATGTATAAAATAATAACATAGGCTGGGAAAGAAATCAACAAAGAACAGAAGCCCTTAATATATGACAATTCATTTTCAGAATGCATGTGGAGTGTACCTTAGATGTAAGAGAGATACGGTTGGGACAGTGAAACGATACTACATATGTAAAAACCTCATGCATTTCTACCACCAGAGCTAGTATACAGTAAATTAAATATAACACAAAGTTGTATAGAAAGCAAAAATGCTGTGGGGTAGCCAGTTCAGCGGCAGATAAAGAGGCCTGTGTTCAATAGGCAGCTACACTCACACATGCACACATGCTCAAATGCACACTCAGCCCCCTCATTAAAAAGAAAACAAAGAACTGCGTCTTTCTCAGCTTCAGAACTCATTTTCCTCCCACCCACCCACATCTATACTCCCCAGAGTGATAATCCAAGCAAACAATTTCCTGGTATGCCTTCATTTTCTTTATGTAACAAACTTTAGGACTTACAATCAACGTACTTATACAAAGCAGTTTTTAAGTAACAGCAAAGCGAACATATCATTACTCATGTACTATCTGCATGAACTAGGTCAATGACATAATTTTCCAATATTGTATGTGATAAGTTTTAATACTTACTAATTTAAAAAGTAATAAACACTACTTTAAATTCAGGAATAAACCACATTTTGGGGGGTGTATTTTATTATCATTTTGTAGTTTACTACATCGCTGATGATAAATAGAAATACAGGACTTTTAGTATGTGCACATTTAAGTTACACAGCTTTAGTAATGATTACTGTACATGTGCACCATGTGTGGGTGTGGGTATGCATGCCATGGAGTGAGGTGACGGTCAGGCAACTCTGTGGAGCTGGTTCCCACAGGTCCCCTTCACTTGAGGTCTCAAGACAGCAGGCTTGCGCAGCAAACACCCACAGTGGCTGAGCCAGCTCACCAGCCCATTCATACACACTGAACCATCGGTGCGTATATTCCAATCATGAGCATATGCCTCAAAGGAAGGATGCAATGGGAGAAATAAACACACCTTTCTCCACTGAGTCTCAACTCTTGAATCTCTGTAACTCTTTTTTAAGAACTAATGGTTTGAGTGTGGTATTTTACACACACTGGCTTCTGATAAAAGAAATAGCTCTCTATTCTCTTCCACAGGGAGGTGCTTTTGTGGACTAAGTCTAGCAGCATACAAATGTTGTCCTTATTTGGGGCACGGCTTGTTCATCAGGCAGAGATCTCACCAGGTTGTCCAGAGTGGTCCTGGTCCCCCTACCTCAGCCTCCACAGGAGCCAGGGCTACCCAGCCTCACGATAAGGCCTTCCTACAGAACTTTCAAAGATAATTGTGAATTATGACTATACAAAATTTCTATCTTACAAAGTGTTAGCATTTTAATGTGTCACCCTTCTCTATTGTTGACATTTACAGTTTTCCCAACTCACCAACTCATTCTTACAACATGAGATGCTTTAAAAAAAAAAAAAAAAGAGTACAACTTGCTCCAGGGAACTCTCCTCAAACCTTTGTTTTCATTCCCTGTGTCTAAAATATGGTGTTGATTCCTAGATTCCTCTGAAAGGGGAACACATGCTCGGCATGTGAGAGGCGGCACACGCCTCCCTGGAATACCGGAGGCCTGAGTTACAGCAAGAATACATAAAAAAGAACACGAAAAACACACAAGAGTTGTTTTGAGAAAAAAGCTTTACAAATTACACAACAAATTATCCAGTAAGGTTAAAAAAAGAATATGCAAATACATGAAATAAGATCTTTTTACTATACAATGAAATATGGACATGACAGTTTTAAATGAGTACATACTTACAGAACTTTAAAAACCAGATACTCACTGTGTGATTGAGTTTTGAACGCTCTTTTCATTTAATGTCATTCCAGGAGGTGGGTCATTTTGCAAAGCCAACAGTTCTTTTTGTAGTCGTTTCTAGAAAATATCAATAGTAATTTGTAGTTTTCATCTTTCCTCTATACAGTCTAAAACTGGTGATTAAATTTCCTCCCAATGCTTGAACTCTTTCTTCACAGAGCCCTTGAATCTGTCTACATAGCATCCATACTTAATCCTTACTCTACAACCAGTGCTGGAGTGTGCCAATCCTACAATGCTGCTGTAAGCAGCTCGGAAGGGCAGCCAGGCACCTACACTATAGCCCCTTCTTCACTGAGGGCGCAGAGCTTCAGCAGGGGGCTAAAGACCCACTACTCAGAACACTTCCTTTGCCGCTTTCAAAAACCAACCACAGTACTCTGTAACTATGGAGATAGAGGGAAAATATGAAAGTAACTTATTACACAAAAGCCTTCTGAAAAACAATTTCATACCTAATTCTGTATTTAACTTCTAAATAGGATTATCTGAACATGATTCACTCTTTTAATGGCTTTTCACTGTACATAAGGATATGGTCTTTTCTAACATACTAGATTTCTAAATGGCTGTATGTCTTGCTCTTTTTGCGTGTCATCAGTTGACAAAGCAGAACTGTCACTGTCACTGTACAGAGAGGGTACTCCAATGGCATGTGCAAGCCTCACCATTACAATAAACATAATGTTACTGAAATTGCATGCAAGATTATAAAGATCCTTTAAAATCACATTTTATTATTTTATTTGAGCTGGAATCCTAACTCTGGTCCTCTGGAAAATCAGCAAGTGCTCTTAAACTACTCACCCACCTATCTCTCCTGCCCCAAACTACTTATTTTATTTATTTATTTGAATGTATGTGTGAGTGCACAGATGTGGCAGCCAGTGGACAACTCGAGGGAGCCATTGCTCCTCCTACCAGGCAGGGTCTTGGAGATGGAACTCAGCTATGCAGGCCTGATGATGGAGTGCCTTTACTGCCTGAGCCATGTCATTGGCTTCTTAATTCCTAACTGCCTAGTTTCTGGTCTTGCTGTTTTATGTGTGCCAGTTTTGGCCTACATGTACATATGCATACCATATCTTCGTGCATGCCCAATGCCCTCAGAAGTCAGAAGAGTGCATCCAAACCCTGGAACTGGTTAGAGATGGCTGTGAGCCATCACGTGGGTGCTGGGAATTGAACCAGGGCCTCTGCAAGAGCAGTCGGTGCTCTTCACTGGTGAGCCATCCCTCCTGCCCCTGGGAGCTAATCTCAGAGTTACAAAAGGAGTATTTTCTGCTATAAAAATGGTCTCTCCGTCTAGTGAATGATACATTCCATTCCAGAACTCGGGAAGCTGAGGGGGGATTACGAGTTTGCAGTCAGCCTGGACTACTCTGAGGGAGGGGAAGGGAGAAGGGAGACAGAGACATGGGAGCGGGAGAGAAAAGGACTAGAGCATCTCAGAAGCCTATCTCGAGATGGTGGCCACGCTCTGAGGACAGTTCTGTGGAGTCCCGCTCTGGAGGACTTAACTAAAACAGCAAAGATGTAAAACGCAACCCGTCCTGCTCTGTGTCCATTCAAATAAACCCCCAGTGACAAAGACAAATCTGAATACACTAAATGCAGCCCTAATGCAATCAGAAAGGACACTAGCTGATGAATATAAAGGCTAAGATTTTCAAGTATCAATTGTCAAAAACAAATGCAGAGCTCTTTCTGAAGCCTGACGTTGTGCCTCCTCAACATGCTTACTGGGTGTTACCAGATCTATTTTAACATTAATTCAGTTTTCTAAAGATTCACTTGGTATTTGTATTTACCACTTGTCTGCTGTGTGCACACCCTCTGACCACAGAGGCCAGACATGTTGGATTTCCTGGAGCTGGGGTCACAGCACTTATGAGTTACCAGAAGTGGGAGCTAGGATCCAAACTCTGGTCCTCTGAAGGATCAGCTGATGCTGTCAAATCATCTCTCCAGCCCCACGGTAATTGTTTTTATATGTACCAACATGTGTTAAATCTAAGACACACAACCAGACCAGAGTAAACCCTTAAGTGACGCCGGTAGCATTAATACATCAACTGTCAAAATTGACAGGACCCTTTAATTACTTACAAAGGGGAAATTGACAAGAAGTATGTGATAAGAAGTGTTCTACATGGTATATAAAAATGGAATGAATTAAAGGAATAGGCAGGCTTTACATCTTACAAAGTTTTATTGGTTTTCTTTTGTTGTTGTTAGAATTGTTTTTGTTGGGAAACTATTTTAAAGAGTAGAAATTCTCACTGAAGGTAAAGGGAAATACAAACAAGAGAAAGGAAGACATTCAAAATGAAGGGTTAGCTGGGTGTGGTGCCTAACTTTATCTCAGCAATGGGGAGGCAGCGCTGAGTCTGAACTCAGCCGGGTCTACACTGCTATTTCCAATCCAGCCAAGGTTACATAGTGAGACCCTATCTTTCAAAAGAAAAAAAAAGAGTACATGGGGATAGAGAGATGGCTCAGAGGTTAAGAGCACTGGCCGTTCTTCCAAAGGAGCTGAGTTCAATTCCCAGCACCCACATGATGGCTCACAACCATCTAGAGTGGGAATTTGTGCCCTCTTCTGGCAATAGGTGTACAGGCAGGGGGAAGGAGAAATGACTCAGAGGTTAAGAATACTGACTGCTCTTCCAGAGGACCTGGGTTCAATTCCCAGCACCTACATTGTAACTCCATGTTACAGACATAACATGCAAACAAATCTGATACACATGAAAGAAAATAAATTGAAAAAAAAAAAAAAAGCTGGGCATTTGGTGGCACATGCCTTTAATCCCAGCACTCAGGAGGCAGAGACACTGGCTGCTCTTCCAGAGGTCCTGAGTTCAATTCCTTGTCACAAAAAAAAAAAAAAAAAAAAAAAAAAAAAAGTTGTACAGGCAGACAGAACACTCATATACATAAAATAAATCAATCTTTTAAAAAAAAAAAAAAAAGTATGCCACAGAGATCTGCCTGCCTCTGTCTCAGAGTGCTGGAATTAAAGGCATGTAGCACAACACCAGATATATTTTTAAATTAAATTCCCTATTCCAAAAAAAAGTGTAACACTGGTCTCTAGTGTAACTGTGTAGATTAAAATACTATCAGTGTGTGTGGCTCGGTGGTAGAATGTTTCCTTGGTATTAGTAAGACCCTGAGTTCAATCCCCAGTGTCGTGAAAACATTAAAGATTGACCAACACTGTTATCTCCAATGTCATCCAGCTGACAACTAAAGGTAGAAAGCAAACCACAGGAGAGCATGATGTGAGGAGAGAAAGAACCCTCAATGCAATGAGAGCGTTACAGTGGCAGCCAGAGTCACAGCCTCAGCCCTCTCATTTTCTTCAGACAGGGTTTCAGGTAGTTCAGGCTGACCTGGAACTTGTTATGGAACCAAGGATGACCTTTAACACTGGACCACCTTCACGTGCTAGCCTTATGCATGGAGGAGCACACCACCATACCCAGATGCTACCTTGGGCGTGGTATTAAGATTTTATTTTAAATATATGAAATGATTTTTAGCTGTAGTCTAGCAATGAAATAATTTGACTTATTTTAGCATAAGGCAAAAGTCAACACAAATGATAAGTTTCTCTCCACTAAATTCTGAGTACACCTTCTATAGACAAAATTTCTGACAGTTATTGTTACGTTTTCCTCTTTAAGGAAAGGGAGAGCCTGCAACAAAGGTTTCCATTCTTTAAATGAACATTCTGTATACCCTGAAAAGGACTGAGAAAGTGACAAGTATAACTGAAGGTCTCCAGGAGCCAACAGCACAGGGGGACGTGCAGTCCAACGTTCACTGTGGCTGGGCCAAGGGGACTGTAACTCAACTGTGCTGCAGACTCTACCTAAAGACAGGGAGGGAAAAGGTTAAGTACTTCTGCTGCCTAAAAGGTACAGCATAAAACTGCTATACAGTGAAAGCCAAAGGCAGAAATGTGTCACAGCATAAGCAGGCTTCCATTCCCAGCACTATGCAGCAGGGTGGATGCCCTGGGTAACTCTAGGAAACAAAAGCAGTGAATACAGTAACTCTGAGATCCAAGAATCCAGGCTATACTTACAGTGTTGACTTCAACCAAACCTGAACATATCATTTTAACAACACACCCAATAAAGCGTATCTGTTGATAATTACTTCACTCAAAGATAAATTGAAATGTTAAAAAAAAATACAATTCATTTAAACATAAAAATATAAAGTACACGATGGTGCCACCTTTGTTCCCAACACTCAAAAAAGGCACAGGCAGGTGAATTTGAGGCTAGCCTGGTCCATGCAGAGCTCCAGTACAGCCAAGGCTACATAGTATGACCCTCAACAATAAAAATAGAGGCTGGAGAAGAGGCTCAGCAGCTATGTGCACTTTTTCTTGCAGAGGACCTGGGTTCAATTCCCCAGCACTCATATGGCAGCTCACAACCATTTATAACTTCAGCACCCTCAGTGGGCACCAGGAACACACATTGTACACAGACACACAAAGCAAAACTTCATACACATAAAAATAAATCTAATATATAAATAAATCCATTAGGCAACATGAAAATGTTTATAAAATAATCAGCAGAATGGCATTTTCCACTTTAAAAGTTATCTTTAATGTCTAGCTCAAAAGATGCTCTGCCAGGTAGGTTCCAAACTGCCTCAAAAAGTTATAATAAGTAAATAATATAGGACCACAGGACTATTTTTGTTCATATTCAACATTAAAGATTAACAATGTAAAAGAAAGTAAATAAGCCAAGACCCTGCAAAGGAGACTGCGGTGGAGTGCAGGAAACTACTACCCAAGAACTAATTCACAACTTTCTCTTCTCCACGACAAAACCCAGGACACCGAGGGAGGCTGCAGGCACCAGCGACTCCCTCTCCACTCCCCAGCACAAGCCACAGGGGCCTGCTAGACAGACGGGCCTGACAACTTCACCTTCCAACTCTGCAAAGCTGTGCCAGCAATTAGCTCCACAGCTGTGACACAGTCATCCGTCAGAGAACTTTTTGCAGTAGGCAACAATTAATGC